TTTTCTTTCCTTAAATGTGTCTCCTTTCTTGAACTCTCTTCACCTCCACTCTGTCCTTAACACTCAAAAAGCATGAATACCTGCCTCTTTCCCTATATCCTACTTCTCACTCCCAGAGCCCACAAAGGAAATAGGTATCAACAAGGCTGAAATTCTAGAACAGATTCTGGTGTTGGTAGCAGAGAAAGACACTAGGAATGAAGTGCAGATTGCTCTTGTTTTCATTAATGGATAATACAAGTAAGTACCTAATTGAGTAGTGGAAAAGTTCTTTGGGAGAAGGAAAAGCAAGATCTCAGCACACTGAAAGTAAGGATAAAAAGAGGGAAATTTTAAATATTATAAGACTCCTTCTAACTTTATCACTTTCCATAAAAAGTTTAACATTAGCTAATACCATAGCTTTGGAATAACCTGCTTTATCCTTTAAGCCTCAGTTTCTTCATCTGTAAAATGCTGATACCAATAACACTTTCACCTTACAGGGTTATTGTTATTTTGTGAGGTTGAATGAAATAACACACATGCAAGATAATAGCACAATGCCTGGCACATAGGAACATAAAATGTTAATTTAAAAGAAACTTGAAAGGGCTGGGTGCAGTGGCTGATGCCTATATCCCAGCACTCTTGGAAGACAAAGGGGGGGGAGATTGCTTGAGGTCAGAGTTTGAGACACCCTGAGCAAGAGCAAGGCCACACTTCTACTCAAATAGAAGAAAGAAAACAAATTAGCCGGCCAACTAAAAATAGAAAAAATTAGCTGAGCCTGGTGGCACCCATCTGTAGTCAAAACTACTCAAGAGGCTGAGGCAGGAGGATCACCTGAGTCTAGGAGTTTGAGGTTGCAGTGAACTATGATGATGCCACTGCACTCTAGCCCAGGCAACAGAGTGAGACTCTGACCTTTTTTAAAAAGTTATGTAGAAGTTTGAGGGATTCTCAAGATGGGATCCAGATTGAGATAACAAATACCCCCATAATATGCTGAAATTAAAAAAAAAAAAAAAAAGAAAACAAACATAAATTTTCATTGTAGGTTTTATTGTAAAATGATATGTATAAGTTTATCCAATTCATTCATTTAACACTTCAACTTAGAAATTTAGAGGATACCTTGGAATACTGATTAAAATCAAAACAACCAGAGGCAAAAGTTTTATGCTAAAAAATTTACTAAAAATATTCGGGAGTCATTATATTGATAAAATGTTACGGAACTTTTAAAAATGCAAACTGAACTGTAATCATTTGCAGCTATTCCTTTCAAAATTAAGTCACCATTTGTTCTTTTTTTTCTAACACTACAGTACTCTATTTTCATTAAAAGCCTATAACAAGGCACAGCTTCTTCGATATCAAAACCTTTTGGAAACCTGGCTCAGAGGAAGCCACACATTGTTTACAGTGCTGGAAAGGACCCGTGTGGTCACTCTAGGACAACTGTCACTGTCACCAGCCCGTCTGGGTGTCCCATAGTGACTTGGGTCATGCAAAAGTGTGGGGGAAGGCTGGAGTCTGAAACAAAGTCTATAGCTAGGGTTCTCTGAAAACGGACAGAGGTTTAACTGAGAATCCGAGACGAGGCTCTGACTTGTGGGGAAGCAGTCCCCCGGGACAAATTAATTTCGGGGGCGCGCCGCCCCTTCCCTCGGGAAAGGGACGCAGGTGTTGCCCTCCACGGCGACCCCTCCCGCTTTCTTCCCGGAGCCGCCGCCCCTTTCCCCCAGCCGCGTTACCTTTCTCGTCCTCGTCGATGCGCAGGGCAATGGAGATGTACTCGAAGGCCTGTTTGTGGAAGGCTCGGACGCTCTCGGCCTCACCGCCCGGCATCGGCGCCGGGGGCGAGGCCGAGGCCGGCGCCGGAGCGGCCCGGGAGCTCCTCTTGGCTGCCATGAGGGCGCGGGAGAAGCGCTGGCAGAGCCACACGAAGAGGAGCCCCAGGTGGAAGGCGACCAGACGCAGCAGCGCGAAGCCTACGAACAGCGGGTAGGAGAAGTAATACAGGTTCTGCTTATGCGGCGACTCGCGCGCTGGGGCCCGCCCGGCGGCGGGAGGGGCGGGGGCCCGGCAAGGAGGCGGAGGCCTGGGAGGCACCGGGCTGCTGGGGCCGCGGGAGCCTTTCTTCTTCCCTCGTCCACCCGGAGAATTCATTCACAGCTCCCACTGCCGCCGCCGCCATAACCCGCCTCCCGCAGACCGACGGGGACCAAGCGACGGCGGCGGCCACTGCCACGGCAAGGGCCACAGACGCCCGAGGGCCCGCCGGCCCCAGGAGCTCGACACCTCTACACAAGGCCCGCCGGCCCCGCCCCTTTCTCCTTCCGCAGCCAGGAGCGCAACCCGGTCTCCTCTTCCAGCTGTCGACGGCTCCGGCCCCTCCCTCCCTTCCTCTGTCCTCTCAGCCGCCTGATGGCCCAGAGCGGCGGCCGCGCACGCGCACGTTCGCCCGTGTCTTCCTCCGGCGCGCGCACGCCCCGTCTTTGTTGACCTGAGTTCCTGTGCGCGTGCGCGGCGCCCGCCGCTCGCCTCAAGAACTACAGTTCCCAATGTGCAATTCGCTCCCGTCGGCCCGGGGCTCCGTCCCTCCGCTGGCTCTCGGCCCCGGGACCTCCCAGTAGGGAACCTGGGTAATCAACCCACGCAAGGGGCAATTGTAGCTTGGGGTCGCTAGGGTAGGTTGCAGGTCCTATATCCTCAGTGTTATCATGTTCTTGTTATCATGTTCTTATATTTCTTTCATCATGTTCAGCCAAGAAACCCGTATCTTCCGCAAAGGACAATTGATCCATTTCAGAAGCAATGCGTATCCATCTATTAATAGGAACTATTTTCTAAGAGAAAAGCAGTTATAGAGACAAACTTCAGGTCACTCCAAATAAAATAATGTTAGCTCGAGGTGATGAGGTAAGCGAATTCAAAGGTTTGACTAGATTATTAGGTGTAGATGTCTAATCTGTAGAATTAATTTATTCAAATAAAGGAATTGTTAGGTCTTGCAAAGTAATCATCACGTAGTTTACTGAAGAATCAACACTGTGTCTCCCCCCACCCTTTTGTAATCTACTAGGCATCTCTTCCTTTAGGGAACTACCAACACATCTCTGCTCCTTGTATTCTAATGAGCTGCAAGCACAAAACCCAGATCACAAAGGTGGAAACAAACATTAGGTCAATCAGACTCTTCTGGGACCTGGAATCTTGGGTGGAGGGAGATGCACTAAGACAGAAGGTAGTTGGAATCCAAGGCTCTAAAAAGCTGGTTGATCAAGTCATCCCACTGAGATCCCCAGAGCTGCTGAGTTCCTGACTGGTCGCTTGATTATATAACCTATCCAATAAACTATTCAGTCTCTATTTCTCTCCCTGTCTCCTTTCCCCCTTTGCTCTCTCTCGCTTTTCCTATTTCCTATTTTTTGTTTTTTCTTCTCTTTTAACTTGAGTTAGCCATAATTGTTTCTTGTTGTCTAAAACTAAAACTAAGTAATCCTAACTGATACAAAGTCACCATTGTTTACAGTGTGAAGTTTGCATATGCCTCACAAAGCTTCCAAGAATCTCCACATTCTGCCACAACTTCATCTAATTATTTCCCCCAATACTCCCCTACAAATAGGCTATTGCAAAAATGACCTATTCCCTGTTTCCCTCCTGCTGCCTCTACATTTCTGCCTCTGTGCTTATGCTAGTTCCTCATTCTGAAATGCCCTCTCTTTCAATTCTATTCATTTTTATCCCTGACTTCCCTCCAGAAAACCTGACTTGTCTCTTCATGATCTCCCCTTCCAGGTAATATGTGACTTCTCTCTTTTGAAACCCATACTACTTGTGTGAAATCTATTGTATTTATACATATATCATGTAAACAAGATGCATATAACTTAAATGTACAAGTTAAAAATATTAAGCAACATTGAGTTTTTAAAAAATTAATCAGCTCCTTGAAGCACTCTGAATCCCTCCCCAGTCACAACCTCTTTTCCCCCCCTCTAGAGGAAGCTGTTACCCTGAATTATGTATTAATCATTCTTTTGCCTTTCATTTTAGTTTACAATGTATTTTACGTATTTTTTCCAAAATATTAAGGGGCTACAAATGTTTTTGTTATATGGTTTGAGTCAGGGCTGTAAATGTGCCCATCACCTGAATAGTGTTCATTGTACCCATTATGTGGGGTTTTGCTCCTCCCCTCCTCCCCCTCTCCTCTGCTTAATTTACATTGACTTTTTTTTTTTTTTTTTTTTTTTGCGACAGAGTCTCACTTGTTGCCCAGGCTAGAGTGAGTGCCATGGGGTCAGCCTAGCTCACAGCAACCTCAAGCTCCTGGGCTCAAGCAATCCTGCTGCCTCAGCCTCCCGAGTAGCTGGGACTACAGGCATGCGCCACCATGCCCGGCTAATTTTTTTATATACATATATATTAGTTGGCCAATTAATTTCTTTCTATTTATAGTAGACATGGGGTCTTGCTCTTGCTCAGGCTGGTTTCGAACTCCTGACCTCGAGCAATCCGCCCGCCTCGGCCTCCCAGAGTGCTAGGATTACAGGCGTGAGCCACCGCGCCCGGCCTCCATTGACTTTTATTTCCCTGTGTGCACTTGTGTGCCCATCGATTAGTTCCAATTTATTGGAGAGTACATGTGGGGGTTGTTTTTCCATTTTTGAGATAATTTGCTTAGGATAATGGTCTCCAATTCCTTCCAAGTTGCTGCAAAAGGCATTAATTCATCCTTTTTATGGCTGAGTAGTACCTCATGTATACATATATCACATGATAATCCACTCATGAACTGATGGGGACTTGGGCTGATTCCAACATCTTTACAATTGTGCTACAATAAACATTTGAGTACAGGTGTCTTTTTAATAAACCCAGTAGTGAGATTGCTAGATCGAATGGTAGATCTAATTTTAGTTCTTTGAGAAATCTCCATACTTTTTTCCATAGGGGTTGTACTAATATGCAGACCCACCAACAGTGTATAAGTTTCTCTCTGCATCCCTGCCAGCATCTATTGTTTTTGGACTTTTTGACAAAAGCCATTCTAATAGGAATAAGGTGATATCTCAACCAGGCATGGTGGCTCATGCCTGTAATCCTAGCACTCTGGGAGGCTGAGGCAGGCGGATTGCTCGAGGTCAGGAATTTGAAACCAGCCTGAGGAAGAGCGAGACCCTGTCTCTACTATAAATAGAAAGAAATTAATTGGCCAACTAATATATATATAAAAAAATTAGCCAGGCATGATGGTGCATACCTGTAGTCCCAGCTACTCGGGAGGCTGAGGCAGGAGGATTGCTTGAGCCCAGGAGTTTGAGGTTGCTGTGAGCTAGGCTGATGCGATGGCACTCACTCTAGCCTGGGCAACAGTGAGACTCTGCCTCAAAATAAATAAATAAATAAATAAATAAAACTAAGGTGATATCTCATTGTGGTTTTCATTTGGATTTCCCTGATGATTAACGATGTTGAGCATATTTTTCATATGTTTGTTGGCCATTTGTCTATGTTCTTTTGTAAAACTTCTGTTCATATCTTTTGCTCACTTTTTAATGAGGTTATTTGTTTTTTTCTTGCTGATTTGTTTGAGTTCTTTTTATTATAGATTCTGGATATTAGCCCTTCATCAGATGTATAGATTGTGAACATTTTTTTTCCATTCTGTAGGTTATCCGTTTGCTCTGTTGATTATTTCCTTAGATGTGCAGAAGCTTTTTAGTTTAACCAAGTCCCATTTATTTATTTTTCCTGTTGCTGTAATTGCCATTGGTATTAGTTTACAATGTATTTATGTACCTCTAAACAATGTGTTATATAATTTTGCCTGGCTTTTCTTTTTATGCATTTTTATTTCAAAATGTTAATAAGGGGGTACAAATGTTTTTATTACATTGATATCTTGTATAATACTTGAGTCAGAGCTTCTGGTGTGCCCATCATCAAAAGTGTTCATTGTACCCCATAGGTAAGTTTTTACCCCACGCCCACCCTCCTGTCCTCCTCCCTCCTTGGTTTCTCATGTCCTTTGTATAGCTTTGTGCTCATGTATACCCATCTATTAACTTCCTCTTATTAGTGAGAACATATGGTGTTTGGTTTTCCATTCCTGGTATACTTCACTTAAGATAATGATCTGCATTTCCCTCCATATTGCTGTAGATGACATTATTTCATCCCTTTTTATTGCTGAGTAGTACTCCATGGTATATATATACCACATTTTCTTTCTCCATTCATGAATTGAAGGGCACTTAGGTTGATTCCACATCTTTGCACTTGTGAGTTGTGTGTCACTGGTTTTTACTTTATATAAATGTAATCAGATTGCAAACATTCTTAATTTGCTCTTTCTGCTCAATATTTAAATGTTTGAAATTTCTCCCTATTTATTTCTATAGCTGTACATTTATTTTCACTGCTATATAGTATTCTATTATATGAATTTACTACAATTTATTTTACCATTCAACTGTTGAAGGATATTTAGTTCAGTGCTGGTATGCTTGTAGTTTTTTTCTTTTTTTATGTAACTAACTTTTTAACTTGGTTAATATATGGCCCAATAGTAGAGTGGTTAAATGGTTCTAGAGTCAGATTGGTTACATTCAAATCTCTGCTCCATCATTCCGTGTAATCTTGAACTAGTGGCTCAGTCGGCTTTCCTATCTCTAATACTAATGTCGTAGACAGTGCCCGGAATCAAGTTGATACTTGATATTTTTTTGAATGAAGAATGGTTCTCCCACATTTCCTCTACACTTATACTATAGTCTAACTAAAATGGACTACTGGCAAGTTTGTGAGCATTCTTTTTTTTGAGACACAGTCTCACTTTGTTGCCCAGGCTAAAGTGAGTGCCGTGGCATCAGCCTAGCTCACAGCAACCTCAAACTCCTGGGCTCAAGAGATCCTGCTGCCTCAGCCTCCCGAGTAGCTGGGACTACAGGCATGCGCCACCATGCCCGGCTTACTTTTTCTATATATATTAGTTGGCCAATTAATTTCTTTCTATTTATAGTAGAGACGGGGTCTTGCTCTTGCTCAGGCTGGTTTCGAACTCCTGACCTCGAGCAATCTGCCCGCCTCGGCCTCCCAGAGTACTAGGAGTTTCTGAGCATTCTTTACCCTTTTCCAGGACTATAGTTACCCTCCAGTCAATTTCATTCCACTTAGAATGGCCTTTCCTCCGACCTTCACTGTCGAAGTCCTTTAGGACTTAATTCTAAAATTAACTTCTTGATAAATCCTTTTCTTATCAACTCCAGTAGAAATGATCCTATTTTTCAATTCTTATGACAATACAGTTGTATTATTCTGTGACTCTTATAATATATTGCACCTCATGATAGTTGTTTAAATGCTTTATCACGTCCCGATAGAGACTGTAAACTTACTGAAGGCAGTGGTCACACTTTATACATTTTTACTTACTTTCTACATCTAGCCCGATGCCTTGCTCATGGTACTCATTTAATAAATATGAACAATTTGAAAAACAACTTGAACATGATGATTGTATTAGATATCTGTTGGTATGTTAGAAGCCACTCCAAAACTAACTAGCTTAAGATAACAGCCATTTATTTACTCATAATTTTGTGAGTCAACAATTTGGTTCATCTAGGTAGTTCTTCTGATGGCCTTGTGGGGGCCGGTGGGGGGGGGGTCATTCATGTGGATGCAGTCATCTGGTGGCTTGACCAAATGACTGGATGGCCTAGCCAGCCTCAGTCACATGTTCAGAGGTTGGCTGTGGCTGTTGGCTGTGACATGTGTCTCTAGCCGGAGAGCCCAGACTTCTTTACATGGCATCTGACTTCCAGGAGAGTATAAGTAGAAGCTGTAAGGCTTCTTAAAACCTAAACTTCAAAGTTACACAATGTCATTTCTACTGCATTTCTGTTGTCAAAGGCGGCATGCAGTGGCTCATGCCTGTAATTCCAGCACTTTTGGAGGCTGAGGCAAGAGGATCATTTGAGGCCAGGAATTCCAGACCAGCTGGGGCAACATAATGAGACCTCGTCTCTATAAAAATTTTAAAAATTAGCTGGATGTGGTGTAGTCCTAGCTACTTGGGAGGCTGAGCCAGAAGGAATCCTTGAGCCTGGGAGTTGGAGGCTGCATTGAGCTGTGATCTCATCACTGCACTCCCGCCTGGGTGACAGAGTGAGACCCTATCTTAAAGAATAGGAGGCAAGAAGTTACAAGGACAACTCCAATGAAAGAGATGGGAAAATAAACTCCATATCTTGGTAGAAAAGTGGCAAAGTCACATTCCAAAGGAGCATATGTATAGGGATGAGAGGAATTATTGTGGCCATCTTTGCAAGTAATCTAGCATAGTGATTATTTGCAGAATTTCCTTTTACTTCATGTTCAGGTAAGAGCTTAAGCATCTCTCATTTAAGATAGTATTTCCCAACTGTTTTGCTGTATCATAAAACCCTTAGATTTGATCACAGGGCAAATTAACATGCTTAAGTTTAAGGAGACAACAATAACGATGATGATAATGACTGCCACTACTTGCTAACATTTACTGAACCCGTATTGTGGAGTAAACAGATTAACTTTTACTGTCTTATTCAATCATCATTACTTGAGTTAAGCATTATTATCTCAATTTTTAAAAACAATTTAAGGCTCTAATAATCTGTTACTTTCTTAACATCACATATTAGTTAATTACACATACTACCTCAGTGATTTAAGGTAAAAATCTAAGGTTTCAAGAATAATATTTTTACATGATTTATTTTATTAATTATGAAATAAATATATTATTAGCCCTAGAGGATAAGTGATCTTTCATTTATGAGTATCCAGATGTTGGGCTTCTGGCCGCTGGCCTCCCACTTTGCTATTCAGTTATACTTAATATTGACTGTGCTTTTCTGCACCTTTGCCATTTTTTTGTATGGCAAAAAGATAGGATAGAGAGACAGCAAGACTGGTGTTGGTATTCTAGTTAATGCCTCTGTAAAATAGACATAATAAGATTTAAATTATAAAATGAAAGAATAATCTAAAACCTTCAGCAGAATACCTGCATCTTAACAGAGTTCAATAAATTTTGTTTTTGTTTCTTACACCTATAAAGCCATTTCAGATTTCTCACTCTCCTGGGATCTCATTTTTTAGTACTCTAAATCCATATCTTCTATCCCTTGGAATTATATCTCAGTATCAAATCCATTTTGTGATTTAATATATCTTCCTAAATTTGTGTCAAGAAAAATAATTTCTTGGCCAGCCAAGGTGGCTCACCCCTGTAATCTTAGCACTCTGGGAGGCTGAGGGGAGGATTGCTTGAGCCCAGGAGTTTGAGGTTGCTGTGAGCTAGGCTGATGCCATGGCACTCTAGCCTGGGCAACAGAGTGAGAGAAAAGAGAGAAAAGAAAAGAAAGGAAAGGAAGAGAAGGGAAAGGAAAGGAAAGGAAAAGGAAAAGGAAAGGGAGAAGGAAAAGGAAAAGAAAAGAGTGTCTTCAGGTGCAGTGGTGTGCACCTGTAGTCCCAGCTACTTGTGAGACTGAGGAGGGAGGATGCTTGAGCCCAGGAATTCGAATCCAGCCTCTTGGCAACATAGATACCCTGTGAAAGAAGGAAAGGAAGGAAAGAAGGAAGGAAGGGGGGAAGGGAGGGAAAGAAGAAAGGGAAGAAAGAAAGGAAAGAAAAAAGGAAAGCAACAAAGATAGTGCCTTGATAATACCCTGGCCTTATAATCTGCCAGGACTGAAGATCTTAACCTTCTTAGCCATTCTACCCACAATGTGACAGCCTCCCTGTTTTTAGATTGTAAGAACTTTCAGGACACTTAATCTTGAACAGAATCTGGGCCAGTTTCCCCAGGACAAAAAGGAGGAGCTGGGTACTGTGCTAACTAATCCAGGACATTCAGTCACTTTATCACTTTAACCCATTAATTTATTTACCACAGTGCCTACCACCAAATAGTTTTTTGGCTATTTCTGCTCTACTTGCCGGCTAAGGAACTCCAAACCTTCAGTTTGAGAGATATTAAATTATTTGAAGTAGAGACAAATGACAAATATTAAGCACCTCTTTTCAATTAAAAAATATAAGTAAAATAAAAAGGCATATCTAGAGCCAAGAGAGGAGATGACTTATTTTAAAAAAAGGCAGAAAACGTAAAGTAGAGAAACCAATTAAAAGACATGGTTGAAGGTGAGGGATAGGAGAAGTGAAGTAACAAATTGTTGGATTATTATCCTATCTCTGTGTTAATAAGCAAAAAACATAACTGCGAACAACTAAACATTTCCCTGAATTGAGTCCTCAGTGTGACACAGATCTTTCATTCATTTAACAAATAGGTATTAAGAACAGACAATGTACCAGGCAATCAATGAGGTGCCAAGATTATAGTAGAGAAAACAATTGAATTCATAGTTATTTTTTTTTTCTTTTCTGTTTTCAGAGAAAGGGTCTCACTTTGTCACCCAGGCTGGAGTACAGTGGCATGATTGTAGCTCATTGCAGCTTCAAACTCCCAGGCTCTAGCAATCCTGCCTGTACTGCAGCCTTGAAGTAGCAGGGCTATCAGGTTGTGTGCCATCTACACCTGGTTAATTTAGTATATACTTCTATATTACCATTTATTTATATATATATTTTTTTTTTTTTTTTGAGACAGAGTGTTGCTTTGTTGCCCAAACTAGAGTGAGTGCCATGGCGTCAGCCTACCTCACAGCAACCTCAAACTCCTGGGCTCAAGCGATCCTACTGCCTCAGCCTCCGAGTAGCTGGGACTACAGCATGTGCCCACCATGCCGGCTAATGTGTTAGTTTGCCAGGTTAATTTATTTCTATTTATAGTAGAGACAGGGTCTCACTCTTGCTCAGGCTGGTTTCGAACTCCTGACCTCGAGCAATCCGCCTGCCTGGGCCTCCCAGAGTGCTAGTATTAATTTTTATATTTTTTGTTGAAATAAGGCCTTGCTATATTCCCTAGGTTGGTCTATAACTGCTGACCTCAAGTTATCTTCCCACCAGATCCTCCCAAAGTGCTGAGATTACTGGCGTGAGCCACTGTGCTCAGCTGCGTTTACAGTCTAATGCAGTGGCCAAAACCTCAAATAGCAACAGTGGTTAGGTAGATATAATAACTTTTATGGGTTCTATGTGTGGGTTCTAAAAAGAAAATCACAGTCTCAGGGCATTACAGCCCCTTCCCTCTCCACTCAACTCTATGCAAAAGAGAAGGTAAAAGCCTTGGGCTTCTGTGAAGAACTGACCCTACAGATCATTCATTAAGTAAACTTCTTGCTATCCTCCCATAAGCAAGGACATACAAATTATACCTATGTCTAGCACCTAAAACTAAAGCCTGTTTGATTCCACACTAATAATGAATTACAAGTTTATCTTACAGGTAACAGAATTGGAAACGAGAGAATCAGGCATTCTTCCACCTACCCAGGGTCATCTACATAAATGATGCTCTCTTTACTCCCTTATTTTATGTAAGATGTATATTTCTTGGGCCTCACAAGAATGTAAGTACTACCTCATCAGCCTCCCTCTCCCCTTGCCTTTTTCCTTCTCTCTGTATACCTTTAAAACACTGACAGTTCTAACTTTCCCTTCTGAAAAAGTTACAGCTTGTTTGCAGTTTATGTTTTTCTGAGGTGCATCCTCAAAATCTTGGCTTAATAAACATCCATTTTTTGCAGTTTTTGCCTCAGTCATTTATTTGGGTCAACAGGGTGGTGGACATTCAAAAATGCATATGTGTCTAGGTAGCTTATGGCTGTAATCCCAGCTCTTTGGGAGGATCACTTGAGGCCAGGAGTTCAAGAACAACCTGGGCAAAACTGCAAGACCCTGTCTCTACAAAAAATAAAAAATAAAAATAAGTGGTCATGGTGGCACAGATTTGTAATCCTAGTTATTTGGAAGCCTGCCATGGGAGGATTGCTTGAGCCCAGGAGTTTCAGGCTACAGTGAGTTATGATCATGCCACTGCAGGCCAGTGTAGGCAACAGAGTAAGATCCTGTCTCAAAAAAAAAAAAAAAAAAAAGCATTTATGATATAAATGATGGTGGAGACCATGAGTAACTAAAGAGTTGCATCCCCTAATTAAACAGGACAATTGATACTCAGATCTTGCTGAATTTTGCTTTTTAGGAACATGGGACCTAACTTGCCAGGATTTTAAAAATTTTTAAGAGAAACTAGAATTTTGAATTTTTATATGAAATCTATTGGCTAAGGACTATTGGCCCAATTTTTTTTTTTTTTTTGAAATCCAATCCATTTATTTAAATGTATATTGTACATAAGTTACAAATTCTCACTTTTGCCACTCAGCTAGAACTTTTCCGGAAAAGTCTCCATTTCTTCTTTGATCCTGTTTTCTACAAGTAATGCGAAGTTACTGTCTGTGTTTTGAAGGTTATAGCTGACAAACACCTGTTTGTTGGTCTTCCTGGCTAGGCGCTGGGCAAGGCCAGTAGAAGTCGTGTCAGAAGTGTCTCCAAGGAGGGAGGTGGACACGGGGTTGGAGTCGTAGCGGCTGCACATGGCCACGACGAGGTTGCGCAGGTGCGGCGTGGCGCCCACCCACAGGAAGAGCGAGTCCGTCAGCCGCATGACGTGGAAGTGGACGAGCTGCTCCCACAGCCTGGCGCTGAAGTTGTGCAGGGAGACGTCCCCGGCCGCGGACGCCGGCGGCCCCTCCATGCCGCCAGGCCAGCCCCGGCCGCAGCGTACGGCTGCTCCAGTGCCGCCGCCGCTGAGGCCCGGAGCAGGCGAGTCTATTGGCCCAATATTTAAAAACAAACCAACCAACCAAATACAAAACTCTGACTCACCAGTTTGAGATTTTCTAGTTTGCATTGGATTTGTTACTTCAGTGAAAGTGTGAATGAGCTCATGGTTTTGAAATAGTAGGTGTAAATATAAATTGTTACCCAACCTGCTCAACTTGATTTTTGAAGCTATGATGCTATGGAAGCATAGCAGAGTCAGTACATACAGAATTTTAAATGAGTTCCCTAGAATGGCAATCTAGATGATAAGAAGGCGTAATTAGTTGGCACTCTAAGCAAAATACTTGGTTTATAGATATAATTTTATATTTCTATATTTATGGTAGACAATGCACGTTTACTCCTGTGCACATGAAGAGCAGAGTAATGGGAACTGTTAGCACCAGGTAAAATGTTGGGACACATAAATGGATTTGTGTGTTTTCAAAGGTGGTTGCAACTGCAGTGGTTTTAGAAAGTCTCTTTTATCCTGAGACCCTCCTCTCCATCTTATCCCATACTCATTTTCTCCACTTAGTGTCTTCCTTAGTATTTCAGTCTGAATTTTGACCTCTAGCCCTCCCATATAGGCTTGTCATTTGAGGCTTTGCTTAAATACTTATTCTTTTCTCCATAGGGCTCCAAAGATAACTTCTTGGTGAGGCACAATGGCTCACACCTGGAATCCTAGCACTCTGGGAGGCCAAGGTGGAGCATTTCTTGAGCTCAGGAGTTCCAGACCAGCCTGAGAAAAGCGAGACCCATCTCTACTAAAAATAGAAAAATTAGCTGAGCATCCATGGTGCACACCTATAGTCCCAGCTACTTGGGAGGTTGAGGCAAGAGGATTGCTTGAACCCAGGAGTCGAAAGTTGCAGTGAGCTATGATGACGCCAGTGCATTCTACCTGAGGTGACAGAGTGAGTCTCTGCCTCAAAAAAAAAACCCAAAAAAAACCCCAAGATAACTTCTTACATATATCTCAGCCTCATCTGAAGTCCTGTAGAATTTAGAGTCTATATCACTCATCTTTTTTTTTTTTGAGATAGGTGTAAGCAAGCTTCCAAGAGTCTTCTCCCAGGGGACTCATAAAGGATGTGCTTAATTCCTCCAGCAACATGTTCTGACCACATGTATAAAATGCTGTCTACCATAGACGCTCATCAGAAATTCAGTGCTTGGGCTTTATATTGGGACTGGTTCTATATGTACCCTCTGCCCAACACATACCAAAATCCCAAACTCCTAAAAGGAAAGCAGGTGCGTAACATAAACCATATTGTCTGCAGAGTTTAGGCACAGGGAGCCACTGTCATAATTTAGGGAAAGTTTTATATCAGTGTAGGAAACTGTTCATTATTTAAGTTCCTAGATATCAGTCCAGATCTAATCTTGTAAGCAGACCTTTCTAAGGACGGCAGTTTTAGGTCTGCTATGTTAACTCTTTTCTGCATGCTCACCATGAGGCCTAAACAAATAATTGATGCTTACTAAATACTTGAGTGAAGGGAAAAAGAATGAACTGGGAGATTTTTCTTTTAATACTATCATACAATTAGACTCATTACTCACATAAATATTTTTCTCCATTGTTTTATGTGTTACTTACGATTTAAAAATCGACATATTTTCCAATTAAAGAAAACTTATCTAAACATTTTTACCTTTTTAATTTTAAAACAAATTTGTGTTTTTGGTAAAAAAAAATAGTTCAAACAATCTAAAAGTTCAGAAAAGTCAGACTTCCCTCCCCATTTTCCCTCTCCCCAGGTAACCACTATTAATAGTTTCATGCATATCTCCCCAGCATTTTTCCTATCAACATATAAATATGTATGTGATAAAATATCATAGGATCTCATAATAAGTCCACTTCCACTGCTTCACTTGACCAGCCTTTTATAAAAAATCTCATTATAAGATTTTTTTACAACATGCATTTTTTTTTTTTTTTTTTTTTTAGACAGAGTCTTGCTTTGTTGCCTGGGCTAGAGTGCCATGACGTCAGCCTAGCTCACAGCAACCTCAAACTCCCGGGCTCAAGCGATCCTCTTGCTTAAGCCTCCCCAGTAGCTGGGACTACAGACATGCACCACCATGCCCGGCTAATTTTTTATATATATGTTTAGTTGGCCAATTAATTTCTTTCTATTTATAGTAGAGACGGGGTCTTGCTTTTGCTCAGGCTGGTTTTGAACTCCTGAATTCGAGCAATCCGCCTGCCTCGGCCTCCCAGAGTGCTAGGATTACAGATGTAAGCCACCGCGCCCGGCCATACATTTTTCACATAAAATTATGTTGTGTCTTTTTACCTATAGATCTACTCATTTTTTTCAATGGCTATACATTTATCTTTTCTTGTGTTGAGAACATTACAATTCTTCTAGCTATTTTGAAATATAAAATTTATCTCTGTTATGATGAGCCCATACTGAATATGAACTCTTTACCCAGTATGTGTTAGTGAAGATTTCTTGGCTAACTATCCAGTATCTGTTTCCTTTCTTCCCCCTTCCTAGCCATACTAAGGTTTTCCCTTGAGGAACCAATCTTCTCCCATTGTGTAGCAGTCATGCGATTCAGGTGGGGGATTAACTTTACCACCAGGTCATATCCTTGTCATGGTTCATGGATGGGCAGTAATTTAGGCCTGTGCCAGTTATCACATGGCATTCACTTTATCAAAATAACTGGTACAATTTGGACAGATCAGAGCAAAGTTCAGACTTTTGGTTCATGGGTAGACTTATAAGAAGTGATGCTGTCAGGTGTAGTGGCTCATGCCTGTAATCCCAGCACTTTTTTATACTTTTTTTTTTTTTTTTTGGTTGAAACGATGTCTCACTATTTTCTCCAGGCTGGTGTTGCCCAGTCTGGTCTAATACTCTTGGCCTTAAGCAGCCTTCTGCTTTGGCCTCCCAAAGTTCTGAGATTGGCTGAGCACAGTGGCTTATACCTGTAATCTCAGTGCTTTGGGAGGCTGAGGTGAGAGGATGACTGCAAGCCAGGAGTTTGAGAGGAGCCTGGACAACAGATTGAGACTTCTGTCTCCACAAAAACAATAAAAAAATTAGCCAGGCCCCTGTAGTCCCAGCTACTTGGGAGGCTGAGGCAAGAGGATTGCTTGAACTCAGGAGTTTGAGGTTGCTGTGAGCTAGGCTAACTCAGCCTACAGAGTAGCTGGGACTACAGCTCTTGCTCAGGCTGGTCTTGAACTCCTGAGCTCAAAGGATCCACCTGCCTCTGCCTCCCAAAGTGCTAGGATTACAGGCGTGAGCCACAGTGCACAGCCATGATTTTTAATTTTAATGGCTTATATTCCATCATATTGATATGTCATAATTTAGTCTCCAAATCCTTGATATTAAGTTTTCAAGTTTTCATATTACAAAGTGTGACTACAAATTGGATTGTGTCAAAGCCAAGAAGTTTGAGTGTATCATTTTTACATTAAAATAAATTGAATTTTTTGGAATTAAAAGAATCCAATTTGCCAGATTCCATTTGTTATTACAAATTGTGTGCAGGAGGCAAATTATTCTCTATATTTTTTTACAAATACAATAGCATCAAGAGGGCCATGGTTAGGAAAGTTAGTTGTTGCATATTACAAATCTTAATACAAATGTAAGGTAGCAATATCATTGCAATTCAGATTCAAGGTCTTGAGAAAACTGACTACAGAACTCCCAAACAGTGTTTCTTCCCCAGCTTTAAGCTTTAGAGTACAACACTGACATTCTATCATTGATTGTTTAGCCTAGGCCTATGACTTTCTAGTAAGAGCCATTCAGGGAGTAAGTGGTTTCAGTTCCTTGAGGAAGAGCTTCAGAGGATTGTTTTGGCAGCACCCAGGGTTGATCAGGCCGAGCGGGCTGGTCAGTGGGCTTGCACCAGGGGTGGCGCTTGGACTGGGAGGGCAGGCTGAGGAACTAGTCTCATCGGAGGCCTGGCTTCTGAAGCCAGACCCCAACCAAGACACACTGCAAACCGCAAACCGTCTCATAGACTCAGGACAGCCTGAGAACCTCCCAGCCCTAGGCCTGCCGGGCTGGGAAGTTCTGCGCAGGCGCGCCAGTCGTGCGACATCCGTCACTTACGGCCGGAGCGGTTCGTGCTGGGAGTTGGTGGCTCGGTGCAGGGCTCTTAGGAACGAACGGCTTGGGCGCGGGTAATCAGCTCCCTTACCCGGTTTTCCCACTTATTCTAGATACGTGGGACTACCGCAGAGCTTCCGGACCTGATGCGGGCGCCGGGTCATGGACTGTCCCACCTGGTTGCTCTACTGCTCGGGGTGCTCCCGCGCCCAGGTGGGGGTGAGGGGCGGGGTCGGGGGCTGGGCTGGACTCCATTCTGGCGTCTTCGTGTTGAAATCTCCCGGGTAACTCGCGGCTCTTCTTGTTTTCCAAGACTAGTACCCGGGGACTGTGACTTGCAGGGTCCGCCATGGAGCCGGAGCAGATGCTGGAGGGACAGACGCAGGTACCAGGAGGCCCTGGGTTCTGGGTGGCGGCGCGCGGGGAGGCAGCGAGAAGGGGCGAGGGGAGGAGGTTACGTCTCTGTAACTGGTGTTTTGTTTTCTAGGTTGCAGAAAATCCTCACTCTGAGTACGGTCTCACAGACAACGTCGAGGTAACTCACCCAGTTCCTATGCTTCATCCGTGTGTCTCTTGAGACCTGGAGAAAACTTGAGTTCCGTTTTTACTGGGTTACCTTCCACAAGGGAAAACTTTTGTTACCATGAACTGAATAGTATCGAATTGTGGGTAGCTTATTTTACTAGCGCTACTAATACTTTGTGGTATACAGAAGTACAAATTAGTTTTGAGCCCAGAGGTTGAACTTTTAAAAGTGATACTCAGCAACAAACGTACTTTATTAAGGGAGACTGTCAGAATCGTTTTGGTTGGTTGGCTGTTAAGGCATCTGTTTGGATATTGTTGTGTAAAAACTACACATATTAAAATTAACAATCCTATTGGTCTTCTTAGCAGAATAGGGTGCTGGTGGAGTTAACATTTAATAAGGTTTATTTCTTTGTAGAGTTTAATAGAAGGTGCCATTGAAAGCTATAACACACATATAGACGCTTTTCGCCTTACATGGTTAAGTCTGATTTAGAGAGTATGTATGAAAAGCATACAAAAGAAAGTGTATTTTTATAGAACTTCTTTGTATAAGTGCAAAGAGATTGTTTTCTAAAAAATAGAAAATACTTTGCAAATGAATGAATAAATGCTGGAACAAATGAATTAACCAGAGCAGGGTGGGATTGGTTAGAAAAAGAGAGGCTTCCTGGAAAAGATTTATGTGTTTTATTAAAAAAGATATGTGATTCAGTTTGGATAAATGAGGGCAGAAGCATTTCCAAACAGAGCAATAATAGTAATAGCTGGTAATATTTCCTCAATCTTTTTACTATGTGCCAGACACACACCTAAGTAATTTGCATATATTTTCAGCCCTATAAGGCTCAGGGAAGTTCTTTGACTTTTTCAAGATCACCAGGAAGTAAGGGAGAGCTGTGTGTTTTTTTTTTTTTCTTTTTTTTAGTTTAACACCATTTATTATTAAGTGATCTCAGCTGATGTTGTAGCTGCTGTGTGTCAGCCTGTTCTTAAAACATAAAATGGAGAGCTGTGTTTTTAACCTAGACAGTTTGACTTTTTTTTTTTTTTTTTGAGACAGAGTCTTTCTCTGCTTCTCCAGCTAGACTGCAGTGGCATCATAGTAGCTCATTCATTGCAACCTCCACCTCCTGGGCTCAGGTGATCCTCCTGCCTCAGTCTCCCAAGTAGCTGGTACTACAGGTGCCTGCCACCATGCTCTGATATTTTTTTCTATTTTTAGTAGAGATGGGGTCTCACTCTTGCTCAGCCTGGTTTGGAACTCCTGACCTCCAGTAATCCTGCTGCCTGAGCTTCCTACCACAGTTGTAGGTTTATAGGCATGAGCCACCTCGCTTGGCCACTTTGACTTTTTTGCAGAATTTAAGTTGTGTTGCCATTCTTGACCAACTCTTAGAATTTGCTGGCATGCCTACTCTGTACCCATAAGCAATGTTTATTGGTTTGATGTCAGTGTTAAGAGAATCTGTCTGTTTTCATAGTGTAGCTTTTATTAAATGATCAAACTGCTATCCTGGATTAGGTGAATATTCTGTACACTACTTTGTGTTCTAGTCATTTAAGAGACTTCTTTTTTTTTTTTTTTTTGAGACAGAGTCTCACTTTGTTGCCGAGGCTAGAGTGAGTGCCTTGGCATCAGCCTAGCTCACAGCAACCTCAAACTCCTGGGCTCAAGCGATCCTCCTGCCTCAGCCTCCTGAGTAGCTGGGACTACAGACATGCACCACCACACCCAGCTAATTTTTTCTATATATTTTTAGTTGGCCAATTAATTTCTTTCTATTTATAGTAGAGACAGGGTCTTGCTCTTGCTCAGGCTGGTTTTGAACTCTTGACCTCGAGCAATCCGCCCGCCTTGGCCTCCCAGAGTGCTAGGATTACAGGTGTGAGCCACTGCGTCCGGCCTCCAGACTTTTTTTGATAGTGCCTGTATATGAAGGCACAGCCATGAGAGCAGAGATATCCAAATGCTATATCCAGCCGGGCGCGGTGGCTCACGCCTGTAATCCCAGCACTTTGGGAGGCTGAGGCGGGCGGATCGCTGAGGTCAGGAGTTCGAAACACCCTGAGCAAAGTGAGACCCGTCTCTACTAATAAAAAAGAAAGAAATTAATTGGCCATCTGATATATATAGAAAAATTAGCCGGCATGGTGGCGCAGCCTGTAGTCCCACTACTGGGGAGGCTGAGGCAGGAGGATTGTTGAGCCAGGAGTTTGAGGTTGCTGTGAGCAAGGCTGAGCCACGGCACTCACTCTAGCCTGGGCAATTAAGCGAGACTCTGTCTCAAAAAAAAAAAAAAACAAATGCTATATCCTAAACCATCATACCGATGTCCATGGTAAAATGAGAAAAAATAAGGAGAGTGGAGTGAGTGATGCATTATTCTGTGATTGGTCTTCCTGCTTCTGTAATTTTAAAGTATCGTTTGTTTCTTCCTTCCTTCCTTCCTTCCTTCCTTCCTTCCTTCCTTCCTTCCTTCTTCCTTCCTCCTTCCTTCCTTCCCTCTTCCTCTTCCCTTCTTCCCTTCCTTCCTTTCCTTCCTTCCCTTTCTCTCCTTTCTCTCCTTTCTCTCCTTTCTCTCCTTTCTCTCTTTCTTTCTTCTTCTTTTCTTTCTTTTTTTTTTTTGGAGACAGGATCTCACTCTGTCACCCAGGCTGGAGTACACAGTATTACCATCATAGCTCACTGCCTTTTTGAACTCCTGGGATCAAGTGATCCTCTCACCTTCTGAGTAGCTAGGACTATATAGGTGTGCACCACCATGCCCTGCTAATTTTTTAATTTTTATTTATTTTGTTTGTTTTTTGAGATAAGATCTCACTTTGTTGCCAGTGATGTCCTCATAGCTCATGGCAACCTCAAACTCCTGGTCTTAGGCTATCCTCCTGCCTCAGACTCCTGAGTAGCTGGGACTATAGGTGTGCACCATCATGCTGGGCTAATTTTCCTTTTTTTGTAGAAACGGGGTCTCACTATTGTTCTGGCTGGTCTTGAACAAATGGCCTCAAGGCATCCTCCCTCCTTGGCCTTCCCAAATGCTGAGATTACAAGCTTGAGCCACCACATCTGGCCAAAAGTACCTTTTCTTTTATGAACTAATGGTGATAGTAAAATAGTAATTGTGCTTTTTATTTGTAACTTTTTACTTGACAAAGAAGAGTTAAGCCTATGTTGATGTTTCCATTCATCATATTTTATTTCTTTTTTTTTTTTTTTTTTTTTTTTTTTACCTTACAGCCATCATACTGAACATATTTTATTTCTAATTTACTTGTTTGTGATATCTGAAAGTCTGGAAACAAGCATTCTACAGCTGCACCTTCTCCTGCTTTTCCTCTTAAAGTTTTATTTCCTTTGTTAGCTTATTATAAATTTGAGGTTTTTTAGTGGTTGGTTTAGGGTTTATAGTATGCTTGTTTAACTTATCACAGTTTACCTTCAGTAGTATTATATCTTTTTATCTATAATAAAAGAACCTTACATCAGTATTCTCCCATTTTTTTCTCCTGGCCTTTGTACTATTGTCATATAATTTACTTGTGCATATGTTAGGAACTCTATGATTTTTTATTTTTTCTTTAAAAAGTTATTTGTCTTTTAAGAGATTTTCAAAAAATAAGTAAAAGGAGAAATTTAGATTTATCCACATATTTGCCATTTCTGGGGCTCTTCATTCTTTTGTGTAGATTTTGATTTCCATCTGGTAACATTTTCCTTCTGCCTGAGGGCTTCCTTTAACATTTCTTTGTAGTATAGGTACTTTCTACTGACAGACATGTTTTCTGCTCCTTAATATGTAATGTCTTTTCTCTTGCTGCTTCTGAGATTTTCTTTTTATCAGAGTTTTTAAGGTATTTGATTATGATGTGTCTTGTAGGTTTCTTTTTTATTATTTCTTTTCAGGATTCATTGAGCTGCTTATTAATAATAGGTTTATGGGTTAGAGTTTTCATCAGATTTGGAAAAATTTCAACCTTTATTTATTTATTTTTAATTTAAATAATTATTTTATTTTTTATAGGATGAGGTCTCATTATGTTGCCCAGGCTGGGCTCGAGCTCCTGGGCTCAAGTGATCCTCCCCCTTGGCCTCACAGAATGTTAGAATTACAGGCGTGAGCCACAGAGCCTGGCATCAACCTTTATTTTAAAACATATTTTGTTAGATTAGTTTATTAATGCTTTTATCTTGAACTTATGGAATATATTATAAGTAACTTTTAATGGCCTTGCCTCTTCTATTACCTGTATCAATTTCTGGGTCTGTTCTGTGGATTGATATTTCTCTTTATTATAGGCATTATTTTCCTACTTCTTTGTCTGCCTGGTAATTTCTTATCGGATGCTGGGTGTTCAATTTTACCTTGTAGGGAATCGGATATTTTTGTTTTTCTTCATTCTTTAGTTTTGTTCCGGGACATGGTTACTTGGAAATAGTTTGATCCTTTTGAGGCTTGCTCTTAAGCTTTGTTAGATGGGACCAGACCAGCCTTTAGTTTAGGCCTAATTTCCTTCCTTTGAATCTTCTACTCAATGCTCCATGCATTATGAGTTTTTTCACACTCTGAGTCATGGGAACACAAACTATTCTCAGCCTTGTGTGAGCTCCAGGGATTGTTCCTCTTATTTCTTCCAGGTGATTCTTTCCCTGGCGTTAGGTAGTTGCCTCACGTCCATCCACTGATAAGTACTCACCTGAAGACTGGAAGGTAATTTTGTTAGTCTCTTTTCGGTGCAATTCTCTTCTCACAACTTTCTCCTCTCTAGTCTTTTGCCCAGTGAATTCTACTCGTTTTGGTTTCCCAGAATTTTCAACTCTGTCTACTTAGGGAGAATACTAGTCTTTGCTCAAGTTCCCTCTCCCTTGAATCCAGGCAGGAAGCAGTAAGCTGATGCAATCATAGGGCTTACTTCATTTTTTCCCTTTTTGCCATAACTGTTCCACACTTACCAGTTCAGAATGTCTTAGCAGTTCCTTTTTTGTTAGTGGTAGATTGGATATACCTATTTTAAGATGAATTCAAGATTTTGACTTAAGTAAAATTAGGCATAGCAATTGGAACATAGTAGCTATTCAGTAAATGTTCTAATGAAATAAATTGAATGGATTGGGTGAGGAATTTAGTATAGGATCCATAGGAATTGCTTAGGCATTACTGTTTCTTACTGGAGGAATTGTAATGTCATCTAACTGACCAGTTTTTATTGTATAGAAATACTGTGTCTGTAAGTTAGGACTGTTTTTAGAAAATACACTCTGAGAATTTGAAGTTTGCCTCATTTTCCTTATTGTGGTCAAGGTAAAGTTTTGAATATAGTGGATTTTGATCTAGGGGAACAAAACTCATTTAAGGTGATGATGGTTTCAGAAATACCAAGTTGTATACCAAATCTAAAAAGTTAGATTTTCAAAAGAAGGCAAAGTTTTTTTTATTATTTTATTTTATTTTTCTGCAGTGAAAAGGGGAATTTTACAAAGGGTCAATTAGAATTTCAGAAGAGAGGAACAATAAAGTTTTCAGTCCATGATGAAATAGATAGGTATTTTATAGATTAATTAAGTAGACTTTATAGAAAATTATTTTCTAATTATATTGCAAAATTAGATTGAAAAATCATAAGCAAAACTAGAGAAGTTGTCTGATACAGTTATGGGTATGTCTTTAGAAACCCTGGTCTATATGTTGTAGATATGTGATTAAAATTGTTTTCTCACTTTTAACAAAATTAAATCTAGAAAAATATTTTGACTGTTTTATGTCTAGTTTGAGTATGATTGAAGCAAAAGTTCATTTAAGTGAAAGTGCTCTTAAAAATCCTGTTTTGTGTTTTTAGAGCTACTTATTTCTAAATTTCTAAAATGTTAGATTTTCAAAAGAAGGCAAAGTTTTTTTTAATTTTTTTATTTTTATTTTTTTGAGACAGAGTCTTGCTCTGTTGCCCGGGCTAGAGTGCCATCGTGTCAGCCTAGCTCACAGCAACCTCAAACTCCTGGGCTCAAGTGATCCTACTGCCTTAGCCTCCCAGGTAGCTGGGGCTACAGGCATGTGCCACCATGCCTGGCTAATTTTTTATGTATATATTTTTAGTTGTCCAGCTAATTTCTTTCTATTTTTAGTAGAGATGGGGTCTTGCTCTTGCTCTTGCTCAGGCTGGTCTCAAACTCTTTCTTGATCTCAAAGGATCCACCTGCTTTGGCCTCCCAGAGTGCTAGGATCACAGGCATGAGCCACCATGCCTGGCCAAATCTATTCATTTTTTTAAATTGTGGATATATTTCTTTAAAAAAAAAAGGAAAAATATTCTCATTGTGATAAATGGAGGGTAATCATAAAAATTTAAATAGTGCCTCCAAAACAGTGGTAATAAATTTTTTTTCTGGAAAGAAATTAATTTTTTCTTTTTTCTTTTCTTTTCTTTTTTTTTTTTTTACTTCTCTTCCTCACAGGCAAGTGGTAATAAATTTTGGCTAGATTCTATTGACAGTGGTAAACCTCTGAGCCCTGAAGCTTATTCTCTCTTTTAAGAAGGGAATTTACCAAGTGTTACAGCAGCATTAAAGACATTAGCACCAAGCTGAGACCTTGTCATTGATATTATCTATGATGAAAAAAATTGAAGCAGGACTAGCTTTCTTGCTGTGATTCAATGCTATTCAATGTCATGTTCAGTTTCTTTTGGAACACTATAAGAAGATACTCAACATGAAAAAATTAACACCTAAAAAGGCAGAAAGAAAGAGAAAGAGTAGGATATGGAAATATCACATTAGAAGAAAGAGATATGGTACCTTTGACAGAGAGGTTTGTAGTCTAGTCCAGCTTTTTAGTCATTGATTTGCCTTTTCTGTTAGTATCATATATCTATTAGTTTTTGGTTAGCACTCTAAGTAATCTAGTTATTTGGAATGTTCATGCATTGTTTTTTGAATTCACTAGAGGATAGTAGAAAATGAGAAGATTAATGCAGAAAAGTCATCAAAACAGAAGGTGGATCTACAGTCTTTGCCAACTCGTGCCTACCTGGATCAGACTGTTGTGCCTATCTTATTACAGGGACTTGCTGTGCTTGCAAAGGAAAGGTAAGATAATAGTGTCTGCAAATGGAGTTACAGAGAAAGCAAAATAGACTTCCCTAACTGAAATACCATTAGGACTGGGTGAGGTGGCTCTTGTCTGTAATCCTAGCCCTTTGGGAGGCCCAGACGAGAGGATTGCTTGAGGTCAGGAGTTCGGGACTATCCTGAGCAAGAGCCAGACCCCATCTCTACAAAAAAATAGAACTATTAGCTGGGCGTGGTGGTACATGTGCCTGTAGTCCCAGATACCTGGGAGGCTGAGGCAGGAGGATTGCTTGAGCCCAGGAGTTTGAGGTTGCAGTGAGCTATGATAATGTTACTATACTTGAGCCCTGGTGACCCTGTCATAAAAAACGAAAGGTGAAGAAATGCCATTAGTTATACAGCTATTTTTTTTTGCTGTATAACTTATGGATATTATAGATTTTAGCAGTCAGTCGTAATTTTCTGGCTGGGCATGGTGGCTCACGCCTGTAATCTTAGCACTCTGGGAGGCTGAGGCCGGAGGATTGCTCAAGGTCAGAAGTTCGAAACCAGCCTGAGCAAGAGCAAGATCCTGTCTCTACTAAAAAATAGAAAGAAATTAATTGGCCAACTAAAAATATATAGAAAAAAATTAGCTGGGCATGGTGGTGCACGCTTGTAGTCCCAGCTACTCAGGAGGCTGAGGCAGAAGGATTGCTTGAGCCCCCAGGAGTTTGAGGTTGCTGTGAGCTAGGCTCACGCCGTGGCAGTCTAGCCTGGGCAACAGTGAGAGTCTGTCTCAAAAAAAAAAAAAATAAGTTTTTTCTATCAGTCTTAGATTACATGTGTATTTGTAAAGATTTATAATCATGGTATACATGTAATTTTCTATCTTCTTTTACTTAATATCATGACATAAAATTTTTCTATATCTCTTCATAGTCTTCATGATTATACTTTAAATTATAATAGCACATTTAACTAAGCCATTTTCCCAGTGTTGAACATTTAAGTTCAATTTCCTTTGTTACTGTAGGTCACCAGGCAGTTAATCTATTTTCGTGCTGCTTTTGCCTTTGCTTAATTACTGTCTTATGATAAATTCCTAAGAGTTCGTTTCTTAGTTCAAAGGACATGACTATTTTTATGGTGTTTGACATATAGTATCATATTTCTGTCCAAAAGTTTGTCCTTAAGATTGTTCTAGTGTTACTGTAGCCTCAACAACATGAGTGTTAGAAACTTTTTGCCAAGTTGTTTTAATTTACTTTTCTGTCAGCAAGATTACAGTTATTTCTCTTTTTTTCTACATGTTTCTCCCCAGTAATTGTCACCTAAATTCTTTTTGTGTAAGTAAAATCCAATAAGAAAATTTGTTTTGTAAATCAGACTAGTCAATATTTATTAGATTCATATTCTGTTTTATTTGAAGTATAATAAACATTGTAGCAAACTGACAATTTGATAAAGAACTTGATGGAAATATGTCTCATGGTAAGAGTAAAGTTTATTGACGTAGAACAGATATATTAATTTATATAAAAATTATATGGATAACCCATATATTGCTTTTCATTGTTATATTTGTAAGATAGGATTTATTTATGACTGAGATACATCTTGGCTTTACTACTGACAATTAAAATATGGGCGTATTTCATATTTTTTTGTTGTTTAAAGAAGGTTAATATATTTGAAATTCTGAATATTACTTTAAATGCTAGAAAAAAATTTAAAGAAGTTTTTAAGTAACAAGCTATTAGTATAATTTTTAAGTAAAGAGTTCTGGCAAAATGATTCATCAAATTAACTGTAAATATTACATGAAAAATGTTGTCTATGTGTAGGCAGCTCAAAGGGCTATGTAAAGTGCTAAGGGAATGTTTTGAGATTATTGTAAATCAGTTTTCAACATGCCTTTTCATTGTAGAGTTTAAAATAGATGTCTCCCCAACTTTTCATTTGGACTTGTTTTCTCAGCAAGAATGATTTTCATAAAAGTGATACATTTGAGGCCGGGCGCTGTGGCTCACGCCTGTAATCCTAGCTCTTGGGAGGCCGAGGCGGGCGGATTGCTCAAGGTCAGGAGTTCAAAACCAGCCTGAGCAAGAGCAAGACCCTGTCTCTACTATAAATAGAAAGAAATTAATTGGCCAACTAAAAATATATAGAAAAAATTAGCTGGGTGTGGTGGTGCATGTCTGTAGTCCCAGCTACCCGGGAGGCTGAGGCAGAAGGATCACTCGAGCCCAGGAGTTTGAGGTTGCTGTGAGCTAGGCTGATGCCACGGCACTCACTCTAGCCTGGGCAACAAAGCGAGACTCTGTTTAAAAAAAAAAAAAAAAAAAAGTGATACATTTGAAATAACGCCTCTTAATTTTATAAACATGTTTAACTACTCAGGTGTGCTGTCGTAATATTAGAATTATTATTGATTTAAATTATTTGAAGAAAGAAATGGCTTTACAAAGGGAACAGAACTTGTCTAAATTAGTGTTACTTCCTTTGATTAGTCACCTGAGTTCATCTGCATGTCTTGGTGATGCTGCAACCATTGTCCAATATTGTTTTTGCTCTTTTAAAGAAGGATAATACACACAAAATTATACATCATGGGTATACAGCTTGATGAATTTTCACAAACTAAACATACCTATGTAACTTGCACTCAGATTAAGAAACTGAATAATGTCAGTACCTTAGAAGCCTCCTTTGTGACCCCTTCAAGTCATTATTTTCCCTGGGGTAATCATCATCCCATTGTCTGTACATTTTTGAAACTTCTGTGTTAGAATTGAGTTCATAACCAGATTTAAGCACTACAAAAAATTTCAGTGTCTTTAACCTATATTGGCGAATTTGCTTATCTATCTCATTTACCTTATTTACTACAAATGGCCTTTCATTATGGAACAATACGTTTTAATTAACACATTTAGAAAATATATTTCTAAACTTCTGATTTCTTTTCCCTTACAGACCACCAAATCCCATTGAATTTCTAGCATCTTATCTTTTAAAAAACAAGGCACAGTTTGAAGATCGAAACTGACTTATTGGAAAGAACAGAAAAATTTGGTTGCTACTGTAGATTTACATGATTAAGAGGCAGTTTTAATTGCCATGATTATTTTCCCTTTTTGGAGTATAAGAATCTTCAGGACAACAGAACTTATTTCCGGAGTTGCAGAAGAGAACACATTTCCCTTATTTTCATTTAATCATCATACTTATTTAATAAGCATATTCTGTGCAATTTTTTCTCAGATGTCTTTAACTTTGTTTTTAAAATGACCTTGAAAATAAACTGTCAAAACACCATTATTTTAAAGTAGTTTTTGTTCTGTATGACAAATATTTTATGTGGCTGAATTATTTTCATGAATTGCTTCTTTCTTGTGTCTTCAAATGCAGTTTTACAATAGAGTGAAAATACAGCAGACTCAAGTATAATATAAAAGAACTCAGCTATGCAACAAAGATAACAGTTTGGGGGGAAAAGAACCTCAACCAATTTTCCTCAGCTTTGTCTCTAGGCCTTTCTGAGGGTGAGATCTGACCATCTTCAATGTCTTAACAAAAATTCTAATGTACAAAAAGTTGGAGTACTGATAAAAGCATTGCAGAGGGTGTACAACTCTCCAATACTATCAACCTTTATAGTAATAATGTAACTATCATTTGTTGCAGTCCTATGTGTCAGGCACATATTTTTTAATTTAAATTATCTATTTAAATTATCTCTAATATAACAACTCTGCAAAGTAGATATTATTATTCCCATTTTGCAGATGAGAAACAGACTTGGAGAGGTTAAATGACATGCTCAAGACAACACTGTTGGTAAGTGCTTGAATGGGAATTCAAACCTCGTTCTACCAATGTGTTGCTTATAGTTAAGTGAGAAGTACTTGTGCTACTTAAAGTCATTGCTTCTCTTTGCAATAAAAAGCAGCAAGCAGCCAGTCCTTCTTTCTGTCTATTTCCATTGTCCCCTGTGAAAAATTTGAAATAGCTCACTAAGTCAGAAATCAGAGAAAATTGCCTGAAGAGAGCTGGGAAAAACATTCATTAGAGCAGAGGTTCTCAAATGGGAGTGTTTCCCATCGCCACAGAAGACATTTGGCAATATATGGGCACATTTTGCTTGTCACAAGTGGAGTAAGGTGGGGTTCTCCTGGTATCTAGTAGATAGGCCAGGGGTGTTGCTAAAACATAGTGAACAGGACAGTCCAAATGCCCAGTCTCCTTCCTCCCCAAGAAATATCTAGCTCAAAATGTCATTAGTGCTCATGTTGAGAAACACTGCATTAGAAGCATATTAGAGTCTTGTATCTCCAAGCTAAAAATGTTATGGGCTTTGCAAGGTTTTCCTTTTTTTTTGAGACAGAGTCTCACTTTGTTGTCCAGGCTAGCGTGAGTGCTGTGGCATCCTAGGTCACAGCAACCTCAAACTCCTGGGCTCAAGCGATCCTGCTGCCTCAGCCTCCCGAATAGCTGGGACTACAGGTGTGCGCCATCATGCCTGGCTAATTTTTTCTAAATATATTAGTTGGCCAATTAATTTCTATTTATAGTAGAGCCAGCGTCTTGCTCTTGCTCAGCCTGGTTTCGAACTCCTGACCTCGAGCAATCCGCCCACCTCGGCCTCCCAGAGTGCTAGGATTACAGGCGTGAGCCACCTCGCCCAGCCTTAGCAGTGGTTCTTTACTGGAAATTTGCATTAGAGCCACTTGGAACTTTTTGAATATAAGTATAAATAATATTGTAAATATACAATAAATATAAAATTTATATAATACATAAATATCATATACATATGTGCCTGGAAAACATGATTCAATTGGGATAGAGCCATGGCTCATGAATTTGTGAATTTGAAGAAAACTCTTTAAGGCATTCTGATACATACTTCTGGTTAAAGACCACTAAGAAGGTATTTTAGTTTTGGAAATATAAGTATGTGTCACTCTGCCTAGTGCTATATTCCTTCTAGTAAACTATTTTCAAGATAGGGCTTCAATTAATCTTGAATTTGATACATTTCAGTAAAGACTGACATTTGGCATGTGTTTTGCTGGCAGTCCACAAACCATATGCTAGGCACCATGCTAAATACTTTACATGAATTGTCATTTAATCCATAACCCTATAAGATAGATTTAAAAAAATTTTTTTTATTTTTAAAAATCACTTTATGTAAACATATGAGTGACATAAAAAGCTGTACATATTTATTGTGCATAGCTTGATGAGTTTGGGGTAAGTACATGCCTGTGAAACCATACCACCATCAAGGCCATAAACATCATCACTTCCCAAAGTTTGGGGTAGGTTTAATATTAATTTTAATACTTCATTCTTAGATGAGGAAACCGACTTTGTTGATTTGTTCAAAGTTACAAAGAAAGGAAGTTTGGGGCAGAGATTCAAACCCACCTTAATGCTATATTACTGCTCAGGTGTGTAAAGTTTTTCTTTGGGGGAAAAATTAGTTTGCCTTATGTTATGTACAGAAGCCCACTTATGTTGCTGGTAAATGAGAAAGTGAGTCACAGTAGGGAATTTTTCCTTTTTTTTCGAGACAGGGTCTCACTCTGTTGCCCCAGCTAGAGTGCCATGGCATCAGCCTAGCTCACAGCAACCTCAAACTCCTGGGCTCAAGCAATCCCGCTTCAGCCTCCTGAGTAGCTGGGACTATAGGCATGCGCCACCATGCCCGGCTAATTTTTTCTATATATTTTTAGTTGACCAATTAATTTCTTTCTATTTTTAATAGAGACAGGGTCTCACTCTTGCTCAGGCTTGTTCCTGTCCTTGAGTGATCCTCCCACCCCAGCCTCCCAGAGTGCTACGATTACAGGTGTGAGCCACTGTGACCGGCCACACAGTAGGGAATCTTACGTGATACATGCTTTAAACAGTTTTTTAAAAACTTAAAAATACTAATCTACATTAACTTGATATTTTGATTTTAGTCCTCTCTTTGGGCATGAGTTCTTTGATTGAAATTCTGTATCTTTCTTCCACAAACCACACCTATGATGCATGGTCTACAAATTTCAGTTTCAAATTTTTGGAAAGTAGAGTAAGCTTTTAGACATTTAAGAAGTGATTTGTAGAATGGTGTATCTTTTTCTTCAATCTTCATTCATCTTGTCTGCCTCTCATTTGATAGTTGTTTTTACTGAGTCTTTTAAAAGCATTCAACCTAATTTTGATATCAACACCTTGTCTTAGTCCTTTTTGGCTGCTGTAACAAAATGTCATAAACTGGGTAGCTTCTAAACAATTTATTTCTCACAGTTCTGGAGGCTTGGAATTCAAGATAAGGTGGTCTGGTAAGGGCCTACTCTCTGGTTCATAAATGCCATCTTCTATCTTTGTCCTCACACAGTGGACATAGATTATCTAGTTCTTTGGGGCCTCTTCTAATGGCATTAATCCCATTCATGAAATGACCTAATCGCCACCAGAAGGACCTATACTCAATCCCACCACCATAGTGGTTAGGATTTCAACATATAAATTGTGGGGGAACACGATATTCAGACCATAGTATACCTTTTGTATTATGTATTTGTATTTCATTGGTTTATATAATAATTAAATTATGTCATGGCAATACCTAGGACAACTGTTATAAATAAATTGGAGAACATGATTGATCCTTGTTATGCATACAAATGTGGGAGTGCAGTCTACTACCTTCAAGACTTCAGTTATCATGGGCATTATTCAGTGTATTTTACTGAAGGAATGGATATATCACTTACCCCAGTTAAATGGAAATTAGAAACTTCTATCATAGGTATTTTTTGTGTAGCTGGCATTTATAGAAATAATTTCTACCCTTTGACTACTCATTTTACTATAGATTGATGGAGATAGGGTCTTGCTCTGTTGCCCAGGCTAGAGTGCAGTGGCATCATCATAGCTCACTGTAACCTCAAACTCCTGAGCTCAAGCAATCCTGCTTCACCCTCCCCAGTAGCTGGGACTATAGGTGCCAGCCACCACTGCCTGGCTTATTTTTATACTTTTTGTAGAGATGAGGTCACACAGTGCCTGGTGTAACCATTTAATTTAATGGAGAATATATGATATTGTTTAGTAAATATAGAGTAAAAACTACTGTTTAAGAGGTCCTCTTTTCTTTCTTTCTTTCTTTTTTTTTTTTTTGAGACACTCACTCTGTTGCCTGGGCTAGAGTACAGTGGTATCATTATAGCTCATTCCATCCTTAAACTCCTATGCCTCAGCAATCAATCCTCCTGGCAAGTAGCTAGGACTACAGGTTTACCACCAAGCTCAGCTAATTTTTTTTTTTTTTTTTTCTGTAGAGACAAGGCCTTGCTGTGTTGCTCAGGCTGGCTTGAAGTCCTGGCCTCAAGCTGTCCTCCCACCTTGGTCTCCCAAAATTTTTGGATTACAGGCATGAGCCACTAGGCCTAGTCAAGAGTGAGTTCTTTTTTTTTTTTTTTTTTTCTGTTGCCTGGGCTAGAGTGCCATGGCGTCAGCTTAGCTCACAGCAACCTCAAACTCCTGGGCTCAAATGATTCTCCTGACTCAGCCTCCCAAGTGGCTGGGACTACAGGCATGTGCCACCATGCCCGGCTAATTTTTATATATATATATTTTTAGTTGTTCAGCTAATTTCTTTCTATTTATAGTAGAGACGGGGTCTTGCTCTTGCTCAGGCTGGCTTTGAACTCCTGACCTTGAGCAATCCACCTGCCTTGGCCTCCCAGAGTGCTAGGATTACAGGCGTGAGCTACCGCGCCGGGCAAAGAGTTCATTCTTGAATTATGTTGGTGGTTGAGTTAGTGGGAGGACCCGCAGAGTAAATCAGGAATAGATTATTAGAGGAAATAGACACCTTGAATTGAAAAAAAGAAAAACAGTTTGGATAAAAGGGAGACCATCTACGTAATTCTGATAAGGCTACAGGAAGACTATCGAACTTCTGTTTAAATCTTATTTAGGAGAATCTATAGTGGAATTTAAAGATTGATAGCTCCCATTAGAAACATGACAGAATAGTTGTAAGAATAGCATAAAATACTGTATCCAGATATTTCCCTGGACTGGATTCCAAAAAGACATTAACAAATTGAAGACCTGACACATATCATCAAACTGGAGAAATGAGGCAGAAAAGATGAAACCTGTGAGTGGCTATAACTGAGAATCTACTTGTTTAAAAATTAGGAAACCAAATTAATATAATAGGGGAAAATAGGTCACCAGACATAAAAGGGGCAGTTGGTAATGAATAATTGTCTTTCAAAAAAACTTGCCAGCTTTTTAAAAAGCTTTTATAA